AATCCCAAGGCTAGTTCTCTTCTTCTCGCCGAGACTTTCTCCCGCAACGACGCTGTTAGTTCTGAACACTCCTTTTCTAATTGCTTGTATGCACCCGTCTGGAAATTCAGGAGCAGGGTTTTCTTTAACTATATACGTCGTTTTTGAAATGATACTGAAACTAGGTAATTGAGAACCTTAAATATATCGAGTTACACACAAATTCAACTTGACCTCAAGAAAACAACATAAATGTATTTTTTTTACAAAAAAAATCGACACGATCGAGAAAACTGACCTCAAAAGTTCGTGGAATTACATTGATTTGCCAAGTTTTATAGGAATCGGTTAACGGAAAATGCGCGAAACCGGATTCATCCCCTAGTTTGTTTAAATGACAATATTGAACTACCCTCTTCCCAAAAAAAGAATCATCAAGATCGGTTCACAAAAAACAAAACTGAGTTATCGCGTAACCTACATACAATAAAAAAAGTCGAATTGAGAATCTGCTCCTTTCTGAAGTCGGTTAAAAAAGATAAAGTATTTTTGTATATTTACTTTATTTTAAACGTTGTAAAAGTTGTGACGGCTACTTAATATGCCTGATGGAGGAGCGGAGAAATAAATGTCAACTCGCTGGAGAAATTTACACCAACGTAAGAGGAGAAGCATGCGAAGGACCTTGGCGATCTGCACGGAGAAGGGGCCGAAGCAGGCGTCGACGAAGTGCGCGTAGTCGCGCAGCGGTCGCTCGATGGCCAGCTCCAGCTCGGCCGCCCACTGCGCCAGCGCCTCCAGCTCGCCGCGCGCGCACACCGCCGCCAGCGCCTGCGCCGACCTGCGCGTTTACGGGTTGGCTCTGAGACTACGAAGGATTGAATTGAGTGGCCCCACGTGGCGGTCTATGGTCCAAACCCTCCCCTTAAAGGAGATCCGTGCCGGTAATTAATTATTCAGATTACTACACGGTGTATTTATGTTATATTACATTTATTGTACACCACGTAAATTGACTATCAAATTCGGTTTACGGTATTTTACAGAGTTCTTAAGTTTCTTGCGATTGTTACATATAAGAAATGAAACTAATTTTTTTCGGATTTAAATCGCGTATATTTGTTTTTTCAAACAAACCAACATTTTGGATCATTTACAGGTCTAACCTAACCCATGATGTAAAGATGTATGTTTAGACAGGAAAAATGGAAATCTAGACGGAAGCTTTAAAGGCG